ATCAGGAAACAATATCAGGCTTATATTCTTCAAAGAGGTAGACATTTTGGACGTTTAATTTTATGTCCAATTTTAGACCAAAGAGTCTTTTTTACTTTTTATTACGTTAATTAATTTTTAATAAAAGTTTCAAACCCCTATTGATATATTTTTGTTTGCCGTAAAAAATAAAATTTTTAGCAATTAAACGTTAGTTTTACATTGATGATTACTGACTTTACAGAAATTACATACATGTGATTAAAGCTCATTAACAGGGGCAACTTTTCTGTAAGCTCCTTATTTGTCAGTATTTACAGTGCTAACAAAACCTCATTTAAACATTAGACTAGAACTTTCGAAAATAGAAAGATTTTACGTTCTACCTGATTTTATACACTGTTTCGTTAAGGTGACAACAAATGTTACAAATCACGCAGGATTTTTAATTGTCTTTCCATTGATGTAAGCCAATTTGTAGTATGATTGATATTTTATGAAATACGATTTTATGACAAAAATCTGTGAAAGGTTGAAGTAAAGTCAAATAACTGGAATAAAATTGAGAATCAGACTGTGGGCAATAGGGACTTTTAATATTTGACATCCCGAATAACCACCTGAAGTATTAACGTCTGTTCATGAGATATCCCTGTATAGAGATTTAGTTATATCAAGAGATATTATTCTACAAACTACATTGTTAAATATTTTATAATTTAGCTCTAGATCGTGTCTGTAGATATTTAGCAAACTGGTACTCTACAAATCGCATTGTTAAATATTTTATAAGCCGGCTAGCTAGTGACTATAGTTTTTTAGGCAAGTTACTCTATACATCGCATTATTAAATATTTTATAAGCAACCTAGCTAGTGACTATAGTTTTTTAGGCANTTGTTGAAAATTTTATAAGTAAGCAAGAAGATGTATATAGACATTGACTTTAATCTAGGGAAATTATTTTATAAATTGCACTGTTAACGATTTTATAAGTTAGCTACCTGGTGTATATCGATATTCAGTTCAATCTAGCGTAATTATTTTATAAATCGAATTTAAAAAGAAAGTTAAATAGTTAAAATGGTGTTTAAATATATAGTTAGTTAAATCTAGCGATGTTATTATTAACTGTATTGTTAAATATTTTTTAAGTAAGCTGGGTGGTTTCAATAGATATTTACCTGTAGTTATTCTGTAAATTGCATTGTTATTGATTTTTTAGTAAACTAGGTGGCGTTTTAAGATATTTAGCGAAGTGACTTTAAAAAATAACACTGTTAAAAATTTAATTAAAGATTAGTAAGGAAGATAATATGTATGTTTAGTTAAATCTATCGATGTTATTCTATAAACTGATTTGTTAAATTTTATAAGTTATTTAGCTGGTGTATACATATATTTAGTTAAATATAGCGAAGTTCGTGTACAAATCGCATTGTTAATTTTTTTTCAAGTTAGCTAGATAACAACAGATGTTTAGTTAAACAACATCGTCAGTATTAATAGAACCAAAAAAAATTACTTAAACTTTAGAGAAGAACTTAATAAACTAATAAAAGTATATTTTCTAAGAAATTTCATATTTGGTGTGCTTCCGGTTACAATGAAACAAACACTTGAAATTTGCAGGAGTTTTAATGATCTTTCCATTGATACAATCAAATTTACGGTAAGGTTAATATTCCATGAGAAACGGTGGTTTAATGGGAAAAGCTGTGAAATGTAACACGAAAGTTAAATATCTCGAATAAAATTCAGATTCAGACTACAGATAATAGATATTTTTCGTTCAATCTGACATGTAAATTTAAATAAGTTCACGGGACACCCTCGATACACCAGTTAGCAAAATTAAAAAATATTTAACAATGCAATTCAATTCATACAGTAACTTTGGAAAATGTAACTAAATATCTGTATACTTCATCTAGCTTATTACTTATAAAATATTTAATAGTTCAATTAACAATAAAGGATTGATCAAGCTTGAATTTCTGGTTTTCTTTGTTTCTCGTGTGAAAGAGTAAAACCGCAATAATACGACTATCGGGCAAATTGGCCGTTGACTTTGGCAAAATCCGGGGAAAATGTTTAGGCCTCTTTAATGTTAAAAAAGGGGAGAAATTGTGACAAATTTGAGGGATAATAATTTTTTTACTACCCGGTGTTACTACAAGAGATCATATTTTGGTGATTTACGCTTTCAAAAAGAAATTCCTGTAAGTTCGGAATTGATCCGGTTAAGTTGGCTCTACCATTTAGAATATTAAAGGGTTGAATTAATCGTACAATCATAATCGTTTTTAGGATTAGAAAGATCTTGTGTTTTATCAAGGAGTATAAATTACCTGGTTTCAAAACAATTAATCTATGATTAACGCTTTTTTCTAAAATATAAGTCCAAATTTTATATCAATTAATATGAGGCATTTGTAATTTATTTATACTGTTATAAAATGTGTAATAATGACAATTGGCTGGGCAGTGTAAATGGATATTTAGTTAAATTTGGCACGATAAAACTTTAGACGAGAGCTAAACGACTGACTAGACTATAATTAAAATTTATTTTATTAAACATAAGTCCTTTTTCTTTGTAAATTTGGCCATTATACTGCACGTATTAAATACTAAATATCATTACCATCTGACTTCCTAACAGGAAAGCCAAAGACTAAAAGTAAATAAAATATATTTCAACCTTTAAACTTCCCGTTATAAAAATATGTTTTACACGGCAAACCATAAAAAACAATTCTATATAATGCGACTTGTAAACTATCTAAAAAAATTGGATTAACTTAAAATTTTACTTTCTTGTGATTTGACAATTCAGTGGCAATACTTCAAAATTAATTAAGGAAAGTTTATTTTTACACGAACAAAATATTTATTTCGGCTAAAATTGGACCGGAAGAGAACAAACTATACAGTTGTCTTATTACAATTTTTCCAACATGATTCCACCCGCCTATCTTGCAATAACTGGCCTTTAAAAATGACTTGATAATATTTGATCAATTTGAATTTCTCTTTGGTGGTAACTGTTTTATAGTTTTATATCTTATATAACATGAACAATTACAGTACAGTGCTTTATGCGTAATAATCGGTGTAGTTGAGAAAATTTGAATTGATTAAACTTAAATTTATCATTACAATTTTTTCAAACATGCTCAAATAAAATCGTCTTGAATATATTTTTGTTAATTATTATTATTGACATATCAAATTCAAATTGAAAATTATAGACACGTCTTTTATTCAAGTTTTTGCCCGTTTTTGACGCGGTTAAATTTTTCTTTGCTAAATTACTTACTATTCGAAAATCAATTAACGCCTGGTTAGTAATTGAAAGAAAAACATTTGCTGTTATTTGCTCAAACTAACACTTGTTCCTTCGGCTACTTTAAGAAGAATAAACCGAAATTTAATTTTAAAAAACGTGTGTTAAAATAGGAATTTGACCTTTGTAATCTTCCAAAACTGTTATGATTGCTGATACACGTAATAAGATTTTAATCGCGATTTTTCCATCGATCCCTGTATAGAAACACGTTAAAAGAACGTTTAACATAAATAAAAAGCTCGAGTTTAAACTATGCTTGCCTTTTTTTTTTTTTTTTTTAAAGTTTCAATGATTTAAATTGCTGGTTTCAGGGAAAAATCTTTCTAAATATTTTACAACTATGATATATTCATGTCAACAGAGAATGTAGGTGTTAAATTTAAAATTACTTTTTTTGTATCAAAAATTAAAACTACTATGTTTTCATTGTGAACTTGTTTTAATTTTTGTTTTTACACGGAACAATAAAATTTTTAAGAAAATATTCAGTTTTAGGCAGTTGATGAGTCTGTACGCTTTTGTAAATTTGTTAACAGACCAATATTTTTATTCAAAAAACCACTTTGAGAATTTCATAATGGAATGGTGAACTTTAGAAGTATTTTAGGTGGGATATTTTTTTTTTAATTGTATGAAATACGAACGCCTTGGACCATTTCGGAACAATTTAAGTGTATATGGATATTAATTTAAAATCGTACAATTATTTATACGGTTATATTTGGTTTAGCAAGCTTCCTACTTTGATTACTTCGATCAGTAAGGAACAATTGAAATATGCCGGTTGATTGTTTGTTTTTTTTAATATCATTTTATTCAATTTACAGTGTAATTGAAGAAGACTATTGTTCATTATTTCCAAATAAATTTGAATTTTACCGGTGGTGAGAGCGGCGGACGGGACCGGGGACCCGGGCCGGGCCGAACCGGCCGAAGACGGCAGACCGTGACGGCACCTCGCCCGTCTTTCGCCCGTGCCCGGCCCGCTACATCGGCCTCCGAAAATGCGTCAAGAATCCGCCCTTACAAAAATCACTAAATTCTAGTGGTTTTAGATTTATACAATTATAAAATAATATTGACAGTTGTGAACAATTTTATAATATTTTAGGGCAGGATTTTTTTTTTTTTTTTTTTTTTTTTTACGTTTACATTGATCTCCAGTTGTATTACAAATGAATTAAATATAATACTCTGAAGACGCAATGTCAATGAGGATAAATATTTAATTTTTTTTAAAACATTATATGTATATATTTTTTTTAAATGCTTTTATTCTCAGGGATGGGAAATGTGTTTGTGCTAATAAAATTCGTGTAATCATTCCTCGACAAATTCTAATAAGTATGATTAATTAATGAGGGGGTCAAGACGGTCGGGTTGCGAATACGGACAATGAGGAGTCACTGGACTTTCGGAGTCCGGCGGAAAATTTTTCTCGTTAGTGCGAAGGGAAAAGGTGAAAAGCTCTTGGACCGGCTCGTTGATAATGGATCGGAGGCCCGAGAGCCGCTCTCACCGGCGAATCGTCGTGGACTCTCCGGGTATATTTTTTTAAAATAAAATTTTACATACCTTGGTATAGTAATCGTGTAAATCATTTGAATATAATGGATAACACAGTCACTTGACACATCACTCGAGGGGGGGGAGGGATGAGGGAGGCTTACCGGCCAGATTTGGTGATGACCATCTCCGTTCCGAGTTTGTGGAATTTCTCCCAGAGCTCCTTCCCTTCGAGGGTCACTTTGGGGTCGTCGACGATGCCGTCGTCTTCGGGCTGTATCGGCCTGAGAGGACGGAGCATGGCCGGGTGTTGTAGGACGTCTTCGGCCGTCGTGTAAGGGTGTTTCGGAAGCGGATAGCAGGGCAGAGGGAGCGGATAAGCGGCCTGGGGCGCCTGGCCCCCTTGCCCACCGCCGCCCCCGGCTGCACCGCCTCCCGTCAGGAGCGAACTGACGCTGAAGTCTGTCGGTCTGTGAAGTAGAAACGCCGGGTGGTATGACATATCCGGCGGTTGGACCACCTCTGACGTATCGAACCGCATCTGTCGATCGTTCAACCACCGAGGTCTTCTCCTCACCACACTCTCTCTCTTAATGAATTTGACGGAGGACGGAATCCGATCGGTCCCCACCCCCGGCCGCCGACGCCCCGCCTCCGCCCGATTCGACCCTCCAATAACACCGGCCCTTCTCCCTCCATTCAAACTCCAGCCCCACCACCGTCTACGCACCCTACCCGACAATTAGACAAATATAAATAAACACGTATCTCACACTCGGGCTCACCCCACCACTCGTGCAGCCGCCTCCCGACCCACCCCCCTCNCCCCTCCACACCGCCCCTCGCCCACGCCCCTCCTCACTCACCAACCATCCCTCCGACGCCTCGGCCTAAAACACCCTCAACTTATACACCAATTATTCAATATTAATTCCTTTTAATTCTTTAAGACTCTTATCCCTCGGATCGGAGGATAATGTCGTAAACACTTAACGATTAAAACCATATTCCTTGCATATCCGTGTCAGTTCATTCCTTCAACTTTCCCAGTTACATTGTTAGGGTAACACATAGCATCTACAAAAAACAACAAAAAAACAACCCCACATCCTGGGTCCCACAAGGTTCAATCCTAGGGCCAACATTGTTCGACACATGTATAAATGCACTCCCTAGCCTTGATTGTGAAATGACTATGTACGCTGACGAAATAGCACTACTATACTTCATCGTGGAGCATGAGTGTTATCACTAATAAACCCCTCCACATGATAATTAAATTTTGATACAGATGGTAATTCAGGTTAAATGCTCAAATACCGGGGCAACACGTTTTTCAAAAAATCTTCTACTTCTCGATAGAATAAGTGTCGGTGACTCAAATGTTACTTTGGAGTAGTAGCTGTTGGTGTTCACCTTAATAAAAAACTTTTAACTTCGGTGTTAACATAGCCAAAACCGTTGAAAAATGGAAGTGTGCCATCAAGACATTATTTCCCCTTTTTTTGAGAATCAGGGATGAGCCTCGAAAATAAATTATTTATATGGAGTTATGCATGTAACATCGACATAAAGTCCATACAAATTCAAAATAAATGTTTAAGATTAATAACATCATGTACAAGGAGCACTCGTATAAACTGCTTTACTGGAATTTTCTTTTACGTAACGTTGAGAGTACACAACAGTAAAGACCATAGGGAACTATAGCCTCTCCAAAAATTGGAAACTAGGAACAAACGCAGTTTGATATAAGGCTTTTATACTTTTCATTTAAAAGATAAAATATCTATATATTTATTTATTNCTATTTATTAAAATAAATATGTATTTATTATTATTACAAATTGTAATAGTAGTCTATTCAAACAATTGCGTTGAGCTCTTATGCCTGTTGTACAAAAATATTATTTTTATTTTATCTTATTGTTAGTGTTTTTTAAAATTTTCTCCACTCTTTAATTAGTCTATTTAGTCATATTGGTAAACATATTTAAAATTCTATCTCAGAAGTATGCATCTACCCTTATACATACTTTTTACACATGTATGTGTAATATTGAGTATTAAATAAACTCAAAATTAAAAAAAAAAAAAAAAAAAAAAAAAAAAAACTCGGATCATTCTGGTTCAACAAATCATCAGACTCTTAATCTGGCTGCTATCACACTGGAACCGACGACGTCCGATTTTTGGTTGGTCCCAAAAATATATCCTCTCCTGGATTTGGCGATGAATATGTTAAATTCCTAGTCTATGTATAGATCAAAAGTTATATTGAAATGTGCGTTGTGTAAACGAGGAAAAAACGTATTACGTACCTACTGAGATCTCAAAAGTCTTAAACTCTTAATTAGTTATTATGGTTGCTTTTATTCCGTAGTGTCATATGGAATCTTGATTTGGGGTCATTCACCATCTTTGCAGTCTATCTATGTTATTCGTTGGAAGGCGATACAGCGTAATAGTAAATAGTAAGCCTGGGTTAGAGAGGATTGCCGTTCTGCATTTTTCGCAATTCAGCATTCTAACTGTACCCAGTATTTTTATCTTTGAATGCCTGAAGTTCGCTCACCGTAACAGTTCCGAACTAAAGAGTTCTAAGTAATGATTATAAATTACCAATAAAATACATCATAAATCCCAGAACTCGGTTAACTACTCCTGTGCTAAATTATATAATAAATTACCTGCAGATTTTTTGAATCTCCCTCTAAATACTACTGGTACAAAAATACATCAAATATTGACAAACCATGAAATTTTTTACAATAGAAGAATATCTGATTGTTAATCTACATTCGTTCTAATACTGTGCTAAATAATAATTAGTTATTTATACATAAAAATTGTTAATTGATTTTTTATAGTTATTAATTTATTTCTAAAACTTAAATATATTTAAATCAAGTTTAACTGTGTTAAATTGTAAAATTATTTGACTTATGTGAAAAATTACTTAATAATATGTATTAATTTATTAAATTAAAAAATTCACCAAGGATATATGTGTTTAAATTATTGTTAAATAAGAATTGACGAACATAGTATGAAGTACCTTGATAATTTATGTAACATTGATGTAAATTAAAAACTGACTTTTATATTGCCAGTGGAAATTTTAAAATCTCTCTCACTCTATCTATCTATCTTTCTATCTATATATCAAAATATCTATGTATCTCTATCTCTCTCTCTCTCTCTCTAACTATCCATTTATCTTTCTATCTATCTATCAATATAACTATGTATCTTTATGTTAAAAATTTAATTAAAGATTAGTAA